GTACTCCTACAACTCCTGTGATGTGAGTTTTTGAATTTTCGGATTGGCCACGATGGACCAGTTTTGGCTTATTTCTCTGTGGTCTGGCTAAATTTGTCCTTGAATTCCAGGACGACTGCGCATTGGCGATGCTGCCGCTGCCGGGTTGCGAGGTGAAGCTTTGCGGCGAGCGATTCACTTTCTCGCTTCGAGTCGGCTCCCGTCGAATGTATACGGTCACCGTTGAAGACGAACAGAAATCAACTACGATGGATGGCCGTGCTCGACCTGGCCGCAAATGCCCAACTTCAGCAGACCCCAGAGAGTTGATTTATTGATTGATATCGATTTTATTGTAATTTTTGAACATTTTTGTTGTTTTGTCTGTTCTGGTGCCGGTCGCCCACTTGAACCGGTCGCTTTCGCCAAACTACCTTCTGAGCCATGAAATACACATTCACGACGGTTTTCTGATGAGCTCGAGCTCGAACTCGTTGCTCGTTTTTTATATGGTATAATTATGGGTGTCCCCAAGAGGCCCGTCGCGCGGCGAAGGAAGAGACGCAGATGCGGCAAAGGACGAGTCGCAGCGCGTGCTGTGCGATATGAGACGTAGTATGGTACACTCTATTTAACCTGACGCCTAACCGCTACAGTATGCGCTGCGACTCGTCCTTTGCCGCGTCTGCGTCTCTTCCTTCGCCGCGCGACGGGCCTCTTGGGGGACACCCTATAATTATGTATTATATAGTCCTGTACTCAGTGCAATGGCTCAGCCTGATCGCATCAACGTTGTTGCGTGTAACCGCGGTTGAGCTTCTAGTCAGTCCCCCTTCCATTCATTCTCACATCATATCAATTCCTCGTAGAGCCGCAGTGTTCTGAAGGACGCCGTCATTGTTTCTCTCAGCGTACCGCAGAATCTCTCCCATCTCACTTACCACTAGCTCTTCACATAGGGCTCCTCCACACTTTTGTTCTATGACGATAATGATAGGATGCGCCATGTCCTTGTCATTCTCCTCCGTTCTTGAAGTGTATCTACACGTCTACGATGTCGCTCGATTTCTATTGTACAAAGTTATATTATGCTGTAAATAAAACTTATACAGGATTCGAGACGTCACCGATTCATTCAAAGGTGCTGTAGTAAGCCTAGCCTCTCATCTGCCGAGAACTAGGGCTCAGATTGAATCTTCCCCAGGTTACCTAAACCTTCTCTAGAAGATGGTGGTCCGGTGGTGGCTTACCATGTGAATGTTTTTTGGGCAAAATCCCAATTCAAATCCTATCTAGGGCAGCTGACCTTCCATCCCCAGTAAGCCAGCTACAGTAACAAAATCCTTCTAGGGGATGGGAACAATGACCGCTGTATGAGCACCCTGCGTTCTCCAAGAATACATTCTGAGGCCAGTTTGATTTCGAATAGATGCTGGGTGCAGGGCTGCTCCAAAAAAGAGGAGAACAGGGCACTGGCGCGCGTGTACGCGTTGCGGTTCGATAATAAAGCAAAGTATGGGGTCTGATAAATAGGCTCATAAACTGAGCTAATTAAAATCTACCGTACTTTTCGCCGTTAGAAGACAATAAATTCGAGGGAGGTCACCATATTTGAAATCGGCTTCAAAAACCCTATGCCATGATGTACTTTCGGTTAGGCTTGAATCTGGACTTTCCTTTGATCTCTCGATACTCGGATGCAGAGTCAACCGTCCGTTGGACAGGGTCCAACGAGGGGGTTGTATTCGCAAGGTCGGAGGCAGCGTCAATCGTACACCAACGGGGGGTCCATAGTGACGGCGTTAGTTAACGCTTTTGAGTGCCTACAAAATGTTGGGTGGAGGTGGCCGGTCGGCATGTCAACTGGTCCCAGATCAAATACTATAGTAACAGCTCTGATGGTAGGGTGTGGTGGTCGTTATTGGTGGACCTCCTGAGTCTCATGGTGGTGGAGGGGGGTCGTGAAAAATTTCCAAAAAGTACCAACGGTAGGGTTGACCCTGGGGGGGGGTCGTATCGAGGCCCTCCAAAAGGGGGGTCGTAAAATTTTTGAAATTTTGTCCAACGTGACGGTTGACCCTGCTCGGGATGATGCTCGTGGTAGTTTCGTTTGATCTACGCGGCGATTCGCCGATTGGCGCCGGTCCCTCCGATGGCCGTCTGCCCTCTCCGTAAGGACCACACTCTCTGTAGTTGCCCTAGTCCCTCGATTTAGGCGCCACTCCCTTTTTTCGGTCAGAAGGTATCGACGTCGGTAGATCATGGCGGTGACCGTACACGCAGTTGTGTGATGGTGGATCAAGGAAAGTCTGTTTGAGGTCTGTAATTCAAATTGTACGTGATTGTAATGGCTCTTATGCGCTTCTTTTTCTCGATTATACCAAATATGAACCTTCTGTACTGCAGTCGGGTCTGTAATGAATTAAGGTTAAGGGATCAGTGCGGCAAATAAAGCGTGGTGAATCAGGGAACGCATCGTTTTGTACTCCTACTGACTAGTAAAGGACGCCATTCGTTACGGGTCCCACTGCCTCCTGCTACAGTGAACCCTTCAATGTGGAGCGGGGAATCCGTGAGCCAGGGGCAGTGTCGCCAGTCTAGGGGGGTGGGGGGTGAGGGCAGACACTTGACATGCGTGAGAAGCTGGAATGTTCGAATTCAACCGCGATCACATGGGATCCCCGCGGGTTAAGGCAGTGGGTCCCGCAACGAATGGCGCCCTATACTAGTCAGTAGGAGTACAAAATGATCACTCCGAATTTGAGCCCCCAAGCCATCCAATCGATACGAGGGCTGTCGTCTGTCATTTCGAACCGGGGTTTTCTGACATTAAAGGGGAAATGACCTTGTACATTCATAAATATTACATGTGGGTATCCAAAGTTAAATCAGAGTGAAGGGCACAATACACTCCGTTGCAAAACTATACGACATACCTCAAATTTCGGGGTTCTGAGGCGAGGGTGGGATTAGCAGGAAAACGTCTACTGCCATTCGATTCAGCGTGTTAACAAACCTACTGAGGAGATTCACTTTCAAATTTCATTCATTTTCAAAAGCATGGGATCAAAAAAACGAAAAAAAGCCGTCCGCCGAAAAAAAAATGATTAACCTGTTACAGTTGTATTCGATCAGTTGACACTAATTACAACTATCATTTACTAAAAATCAGCTATCACTATGAACCACTACTAACCAGATTTACTTGGAGGCCGTCGTCAGTTGTGGTGTTTGGTCTGCACCCCACACTTTCTGGCTTTTGAAGGAGGGGGGATATGTCTATATGGTGTTTTATAGTCCGCGGAAGCATACCCTACTACTCCGAGGCTGCGCGTTTACGAAGGCCTAAGCGAGCGTAGGTGGAGAGGAGAGGAGTTGGCTATGGCAAGTTTGTAGCTGTCGGTATTAAAGGCATTTACAAACGTGAATTGATCTCCTTCTTTGGTTTACCCCGTTTCGTAATGTTTTTCATATTTCTTAGTCTCATATTGAGTTCATCTTTTATTGAAGGCATTGCGCCTCACTTCGGGCATATCGCTCAGAACAGAGGGCATTCCACACTCGTATCGGGTAGGTTGGCTATAGATTTTTTCAACCTGAGGGGATAGAGACGATGACTCCAACCTCGCCTAGTATTCAAAAACGCTGTGCATTTCATCTACTAGTTCAAATGTCTCTTCGATTTTTGATGGAAGTCGAATGCATGGCGCGCCACACCTAAAACACTTAACGCCTGCTTCTTCATTGTTTCTCATTTGGAGCTCGAGTATAAGTTGATTTATTACGTATTATTCTATATCTATGGCATGTGATTCTCGTAGGGGCAATTGTCTAACATACAGGTTTCTTATTAGCACCTTCAAGCTGCATAGCATACACGCAGGCGTGTTTCGGTGACTATCAAACGGGGCTTTTGTTACGATTGTCAGACTTGTTCGAGTGCATTCGTCTGGTTTTTCTAGCTGTTCATATTACGCCATATCTCGCTGGCTCTCGGCCAGTTGTCGGCGTGTTTCTGTCGCGTCATGTCGTCGTTGTGTTTTTGGACAATCGCCGTTTCCGCACTGCTTCATCACACATCTTCTGATGAACACCGGGATCCTTATCAACGCGATTACCACTACCGTAGGTTCATTCACCTATCTACACTCCCTTTCAAAAACGAGAAGAGCGTCGGGTGCAGACCATGCACCACAAGTGACGACGGCCTCCACAAAATGTAAATGTTTTCTGCCAATGAAATGATTAGCCTGTTGCAGTTGTATTCTATCAGTTGTCACTAATTACAACTATCATTTACCAAAAATCAGCTATCACTATGAACCACTACTAACCAGATTTACTTGGAGGCCGTCGTCACTTGTGGTGTATGGTCTGCACCCGACACTCTTCTCGTTTTTTGAAAGGGAGGTTACCTGTTTTTTTTTACCGTGAAACGACGGTTTTGAGCGGTTTGCAGTAGAAACTGAGTTTGTGGGCGGCAGGTGGCCCTGCCTGGCTGTTATCAGCTTTACATGAACACTAAAGAAGCGAATGGGGTTTGAGTGTGTTGAAGAGGATTCAACCTCGAAAGCTACAATTGGGAGATTGACACCTCAGAGCCTCAAATTTGGTCATATCGTTCTCTGGGGCCTAGCTTCCTGCCTCTACTTCATTAGTGATGATCAGGGGCCGTATGCAACAAGCCGCGCAGGTCTTCGGGGATATATCCTCTCAGTCGTATGCAAGGGGCTTGTTGCATATGGCCCCAGGTGACCGAATCTGTCGTTCAAGTAATTTCTTAAATTTAATCAGATAGAAGAATTTCGATTAAATAGCAAAAGTTATAAGTACGCAATTTTGTTGGTGCCAAGAAAACGAAAATCACAGGCAAAGGGGTGGCATTTAATCAGAGGTATCATGGTGATGAAAAGGAATAAACTAATTGCAGAAACACGATATGTGAGATGTTCTCGAGAGCCAAGCGATGATCTACGGACCTTGTGCAGCGTCGTAGCCGAGAAGATCACCACAAAACCTGGAGAACGTTGTCTGAGTGATTTCGAACCAGCATTGAAGGTTTCCCTGAATAACTCAAAGTCTTAGAGAAGATTCTTCAGAAGTGCAAGCTAATGAGAATGTTGAATCCTTCAGTTACTGGCGTCTTAGAGGTTTCAATGGCTTTCACTTGATGACAATTATTCTAGGGTTGCCATATGACAAGAGCATGAATTCGCCTCTTCTTTTTCCTTGCAGCTCTAATGGTGGTGCTATCCGTCCCTACTTTCATTTTAGAGTACAACAGCCGTAGCTATTATGGATAAGCGTGAAATGTGCCACTCCAATCAGGGGGAGACGGTCAAGAGTCCCCCGCGACCGCCGCGCCAAAACTAGGTCACCGCGCGCGACGTCGCCGGTGTTTCTGCAATTTGCCGAGTTCAGGACCCCTCTCCAGACGATCGATACAACGCTTTCCTGTTCCCTCTGTGTAGGCCCCATTCCTGCATTTGTTTCAGCTTAGTCCTAGCAACTTGATACGTTTCAAGCTGGATATGGTAGATAGCCGCCGCGTGCGCTTTTCGCTTGCGCGACCTCAGGGGGACTCTTGTCTCGCATCCCTATAAGTGAGGAGTGGACCTGTCCGAAAATTCAGGCACTTCGTCTGAGGATACAAAAACTTCGATATGCTTAACTTTGAGAACGGTGAGGAACCTGTTTACAGAATGTACGTAGTCTGTGCCCAACAATGTGCCGATAGCCGAGGATACGAAATCGTTCACAAAGGGTGCCGTCAAACAATCATGTGATTTGCACAAGTATGAGAATTACGCCTCAATCAAGTGAGCGTGCACTATTTTTTTTTTAATTTTTATTATTCACTTCTAAGAATTGGAGAAACATGGGCCCATTTCGCGACAAAATCTTTCTACCTTACTGCCAGCAATCCCGCACAGGACTGAACCCTGTGTCAGTGCAATGTGCAGTGCAGAAACGTTTACGCTCCTCGCCTCCTTGTTAGAGCGCATCCGTGTGTCGCTCTACGACCGCCCTCACCGCAATGGATGTTTCTATAGTATAAATATTTGAAAAACTGAGGCATGGCGCATTCAGGCATTGGCCGTTTCGGGATGCACGCCACGCATCCTAGTTCATTCAGAAGTAGCTGGCAACATTGGAATGCGATTGACCTAATGAATGCGAATTCGGGGGTTGGGGGGAGAGCAGGTGTTATGCAAGCATCAGTGCCTTTCCTCCCAATCCCAGAAAGACTGGTACAATACTCGACCGCAGATGGATAGCTGATGGGCCTGAGACGCAGTCGAGGAATTTATCCCCGCAGCCGCAGCCACCTGCTAAGCGCGCACTTGTCACTACATACTATTCTGCAAGCACGGGCTATGCCACTTACACTGCTTCTATCAATGCTTTTTCAGACGTGAAAGACGTCTATCTTTGGCGACGAGGCGCATGCCTCAACGAGACAATGGCCTTCACTATCAACTGCGGTTTTCCATTCAGTCGGAAGAATCTGGACAGGATTCAAAAGGACCCCCAACTCTATTTGGAAAGACTCCTGGCACGACACTAAATCGCTAAGCCCAGGCTCAGCGTGGATCTTCAGATCTCTCTAATAACGTCTTCATCCTGTTTACTTCCTATGCGATATGTCAGCTTCCGAATAAAGGGATTTGCATTTGGATTTAGATCGCCCAGGCAACCAGCCGGATATCTGACAAGATCCTCAATTCCGATACGCATGAACCACTTATTCTAATGAAAGCATCCATGCATAACAGATTCCGAAGGCATCGTTTCCAGGCATTCTACATGCATTCACTAACCGTGATTAATATAGAAATACCAAAACAAAATAAATATCGGAAATTCGGAAGAAGTATGTCCTTCTAGCCTGTTTTGCATGGTCCCGTCTGCCAAATCCACTGTGGCTGATATCTGTTCCACTTGTAAAATCTGAAATATAACTACCTTTTTGTAATCCCCTCCTTCGTATGAATCCTCCCACTTGTTGCGCTAAAGGATTTATACTCTGCTTCCGAAAACCAGATGCGCGTCGAGTGCAGACCACACACCACAAGTGACGACGGCCTCCAAGTAAATCTGGTTAGTAGTGGTTCATAGTGATAGCTGATTTTGGTAAATGATAGTTTGTAATTAGTGACAACTGATAGAATACAACTGCAACAGGCTAATCATTTCATTGGCAGAAAACATTTACATTTTGTGAAGGCCGTCGTCACTTGTGGTGTGTGGTCTGCACCGACGCACATCTGGTTTCCGGGAACAGGGGTACTTCGAATGGTTTCAGGAAAGACATTTTTGTATGTGTGTTTCATTGCGGAACACATTTTTCATCAAGGAGATGTGTCAGTGACCTAGGTACGTGAGAAAAAATAAACAAACAAATAAATAAAACTATTTACTCATATAAATTCAATAATATTCAATACAACTTTGTAAATGTACAGGCTTTACTAATATATCACTATATGACCTCTTCTTACAAAATCTAATGTGTCCAGCACCTTCTTTCCGATGGTACATGCATTCTGCCGTTCCTGTTCGAAGAGAGAGGTGCGTTGGAGAGTAGGGCGGGATGTTCGTGAGCGGACCCGGAGCGTCTGTCTACCTAGAGGCCCACTTGGGCCGTCGGGTGGTTTCTGAATGGCTGACTGCCTCTGATTTGCCTCCAAACCTCCGCCCCGCTCCCCAAAGCACGACCTCCGTCTTCAAATCCGTGAAAGACGTAGTCTAATGGTGAGAAGCTGATCTACTCTTCCAGCAATGGTGGACGTTCCACATAGCGTTTAACGACGGATACACGATGAGGACCGACTCGAAGATTGTACTTGGCGCCAAGCTGAAAAGAAAGCTAGTAGATTTTTTGAACAGTTTATCATACTACTGGAATTTTTCCCTTTCAATGATTAACCACCTGGCATTTGCTCGAGCGCTGGGTAGAT